CTGCTTCTCCCTCTGACCCTCCCCCCTCTCATGTGCTCTCTCTCATTCTCTCTCACACAAATAAATAAATAAAATCTTTAAAAAAAAATGAGGATAAAACACAACTGTCAAAACTTGATCAAACTGAACACTTAAGAACTATGCAGTGTTTGTTTGTGTAAATAATACTGCCACTAAAACAATAAATGGAAACACTGGAGGTGAGCATTTTTCTGCTATACATCTACATTTATACGTCCAAACAATCATACGCTGTTTGCAAATGACTATTGATCATACTCATCTTATAAGCCTGAGAATCACTTACTATCTCCAAGACAGCGATTCTCAATCAACCCAAGGCGATTTTGACACCCCAGGGACATTTGGCCAAAGCTGGAGCCATTTATTTCCAGCCTCACAGCGGGGAGGTATTACCACCATCTGGTAGGGACAGAGGCCAGGGATGCTGCGAAACATCCTGCGGGACAGAGGACAGTGCCCTACAACAAAGACTAGCTCCAAATATCAATAGTGCTTAAGTCGAGAAAACCTGGTTATTGCTGATCACGTGTATGTCCACAGTCTTGCGCTCTCCCCCATTATCAGCTCGCTCCCCAGTTAACCACAGGAGTTTGCAGGCAGATGAAAAGGAAATGAACCCCAGGTGTTGGCAGAAGCAAAGGAAATCAGGGACTTCTGCGAGGCAGGGATCTGCCTCGGCCAACTTGAATTTTTCATTTCAGTACAAACTTTATTCTCTCAAAAGGCTGTAGAACCAGAGGAAGGTGGAGATGAATATAATGGGTTTCAGAGTTTAAGATTTCTCTTTTGTTCTGAAAGCAAGTTTTTGGGTGCTGACGACAAAGCGTCAGGAGGACCTGTTAGAGTAGGTGGAATTTTCCACCATTGCGATCTCTGTCTAGACGCCAATCACACTCAACTTAGAAGATGCACATTAAGAGACTGGAAATTATTCTCTGGTTAAAGGATTCTCTGTTGCTCTTTCCTTCAACAACTCACTCCACTTTGGTGAGAGCAATTGCCAAACTCTGGAAGCAGCCTTTCGTCTTTGGAGTCGATGGGTTTGTCTCCGATTAAGAGGGAGATGTAAGGTCAAGGGTGGTGAAGCTGCTGATGAAATCTTTGGGTTCGTGACTGGCAGAGAGGGTGGCTGCCATACCCTAAAACCAAGCTAAGACTCACCTGGTGAGCTTGTCAAAATGCTGATGCCCAGGCCCCCCTCTCTGAGATGCAGATTCAGTAGGTTAGGGCTGGGCTGGAATCTGGAATATTACATAAACATTGCAGATCGTTCTCATGGGGTTGGTCCCCACAAAACCCCTAGAAACACAAGAGCTGATCCCTCTTCCAGGGCAGGCCAGACTGTTTCACCCATGGGGTCCCCTGGGAAGCTGCCCCTTCCTCTGTTTTCCCCACTACTGGGTTTGCTAAAGTCTGAGACTGTAATCCTCTCTATAGGAAACTGCTAATCCTCTCTATAGGAAACTGCTCATGGGGACATCAGTTTAGCCCTAAAGATGCAGTCTGTTACTCTGCATTTGCAGAAGAGTTAATTCTTTGTTTTCATTTCAATGCCAGCCTATCCTAGCCCAATGGAGTTAACCTGTAGGATAAAGGGTAACTCTGTACCCACTTGAGTGGGAACGGGCCGACTGTAGGCAAGCGTTGGTCTCATCCACACATCAGCAGGGACCCTCACCAAACCAACTGCTGGACTCATTCAGTTAAATACCATTTGTGAGACATGCTGCAAACAGACCGCCCCCAACCTTTCGTGACCCCCGGGGTCGTCATGGCTAACCACGATGGCTGCAAGGTGGATAAATACACTCCTACCTGAGAGGGATTTTGTTTTCTTGCTGTGCTTCTAACTAAACAGAGTAATTTGCCAACACCTGCCTGCCACACAGATACATCTGAATGGATGTCATTGTTCTACTTGAGTTTAACAGAAATTGGAGCAATTTCAGATTCGCCCAGGTAATAGATATTTTTCAAAGCGGAAACATGCAAAGGCAGCTGCATATACATATGTTTACATACATCTAAATCGTCACAGAATTTTAAAACAAAAGGATTCTTAGGCTCATTTAGATTGAATGCATGCACCTCCCGGCCCCATTTCACGGAGTGGAAAACCAAGGTCCGCATGGGTGATATAGCCCAGAGAGTATGTGACTGGAGCCTAGGGCTTCTGACTCCTAGCAGAGAGATCGAGACTGGAGACTGAAGGCTCCAGTCTCTCTACTTGGAAGAGAGGCTGATGCACATGGATGCATATAGGAATGACCATTGGTGGGATTTAGCGGTTCCCAACGGGAACGATTTTCTGGTTGCCCCAGTAACTCTTGGTAGTGTTCAGAACAATGGGGTGACAGTCCCACTCCATGCTAGCCTGGTTGGATCGTCAGTGAATGGTTTGTAGGGTTCAGGGCTGGGTGTCAGGGGTCCTGAAAAAATGGCCCACGTCGACGGGGGCGACAAAGATGAAAGAAAAGGTGCCTGGAAACCACGCCGTGTGAGGAAGGACAGAAGGAGCCAGGAGCTTGAGAAAGAGTTAGGGACGTACATGGCACCTGCCCTTAAGTACTTTCAAGGCCTTCGTGAAGAAGTTTACGGGGTACCAAGCTATATGTGTGGCCCCAGAGGGTCCAGTTACGCAAGTGTGAAGTTTCGTGTAGGGTGAGTTTGGTTCGATCTTTACCAAGACTGCACAGGGACTAAAAGCCCAGCAGGAGGCTCTGTGGGAAACACTTCAATGTTTGTTGAACGGAAGGAGAGTCAGAGCTATTTTCTCCTTTTTCTCCATCTTTCCTGCCCATTGGAGGACTTAATTGATAATCAGTTTAGGAGTCAATTAGGTAAGACATTCTCCGCGGACTACGTGCCATGCTTAGGCCAAAGGCGTATTGATTAGTGACTGAGGACAGAAACCCAGAAGCCAAGACAACGGGAACTTCATTACCTTACTAATGTGAAATTCCAGGCGTCTCATGTATCTTTCAATCGTTTTAATTTGCTGGAATTAAAAGAAGAAGTTTGAAAAAGTACAGCCATTTACAGTTTAACTGATCTAGACCAACAAGAATATCTTCTTCCTGATCTCAGACCCAAAATTACCAGAAAATGCTAAATACCTCCCCTTCCTTCCAATCTTGGCTATTTCAGAGAATCTCTAATACCAATTTGGAAAGTATTTACTAAAACATCGAATAAATATTCTGAGAGATGAGCTTGAGTTAGTAATGGGAATCGTTGTGTTGAACATTGAGGGAGGCCAATCAAATGGAATTCACTGGGTTTCTAGCAGGGCAATATCCTGTTGGGGCATACTTCTAATCCTTCACAGTAACATATTTTATCATCTCGAAGATGAACTCACCCCCCTACAGTTTAGTGTCTCTGAAACCGGGGTGCATTTTGAAACTACTGTCCGTTCATGCTCAAAGATAATCACAGTGGTTCGTGTGTCATCTCTTTGAGTTATAAATATTGTTATTACATGCATTAAACTTAATTACCCTCTCCAATGTCTTCAAAAAACATCACACCATGATTCGGCATTAAAATTATGTATGTACAGAAAGGCATGCGAAGAGAGCAGCAGCATATATGAATAAAGAAAAACAAACTCTACATTTAAAAGAAGCCTAGAAGAGTTTTGTCACGAAGTATAAAATACACATTTTAAGTGAACAGAGAAAACCGTGCCAGGGTTTACCTGGAATCACTTTTTTTCCCTTAGGGAGATATAAAATAATGGTGTGTTTTTCAGTCAAAGACGTCTTCAATTTGATGAAATACGGCAGTCAATTAGAGAGAACACAGGTAAGGACCTTCAAATACCTGGAAAGTTCTTGAACTTATCAGTGCACAGAGAAACCCTACAACCAAGTGGCATTTTTATGGAAGTGACCTTCAAGATGTTATTGGAGCTACAGATCATGGTACTTATTCACCCGCCCTCATTAGATACAAGAATGACTTTTACTAGGCTTAGAAAAATCATCAGTTCTTGGAGATCTGGTTATGCCTAAAGAGGAAATCACAGACCTCTCTGCAAACATGCAGTGTTTTTTTTTTTTCGCAATATTCCCCCCACAGAATGATAACTTACCTTGTCTAGGTCATACAGCACACCCTAAAATAAAAAAGGAGTGTCCGGATTAAAACATAGTTTCCTCACAATTGTTACTGATTTCAATAGAGGGATTCAGTTTGCATTTCTGCATTTCCGGGGAAGAAATGATCACTCCTGCAAAGTTCTGCTGGGTTATTTGAAATAGCGGCGAGAGTACTTTTAGGGGCCCGTATTTATTTTCCCTCTGTGTCTACAGAATTCCACCCCAATCTCTCCGCACCCAAGGGTCTCACTTGCTTTCAGCTCTCCTCTCTTACATCCTGAGGGGCACATAAATTCATATTAACTTTTAAATACGGAAAGCAAGTTAACATAGAATGGAGCAGGGATAGCCCTTGCCCTCCCATTTAAACATATAAAACTGGTGTTTAAGGAGAGTCCTGGAGGGCAGTGATAGGCTTTTCACAAATTGTTTTTTAAGCAAGTTCATTTCCTGTGTGTTTGTAAGAGCACAGTGTAATCGGCACAGCATTCCCATATTCCCCATCAGGAGGGTTTCTCTACGGAACACCAGGTCCCAGCAAGAGCTCCTGCGTCCATTCACTATTGTTCTCCAAGGAGAAACATGTGTTGCCCCTGAGGATGCTCAAGGGCATTCCAAAGCGGAAGGCCATTCCATAAGGAGTCGCTCCCCACAGAGATGGGGCGGTTCCTACTGTAACATCATCGGGGGATAAAATCTTTTAACTTCCGTAAAGCTTTTAGCCTCTGAGCCTTCGGAAAGGACACGACTACACATCTTAGCAGATCTCCGAAAACAGGAGAAGACAGTGGCTATGGATACACAGCTCTACCTCTTAGCGCGTGGAGACTTTTCCTGGGCTTTCGGACACCTTGGAAGATTAAGATGTAAGATCATTTTGAACGGAACAAAATCATTTAAAATAGTGTACAGGGGAGAAGCACCTCTTCAACCAGGTAAGTCCTCACAAATTTATTAGAATAGAGGACACCTGTGAGCTGCGGGTCGTAAGGACATGTAATGGAACGGGCTCAGGGGCTGCTCCCACCTTCTCATAACAGGTGCCCCTGGGATCCCCTTGCCCTCCCTGACGTCATTGACCTGTACTGTTTTTTCAGTTGTTCTGGGCTCCAAATTCTGTACTAACAAAATGCTAGGAGAACCCCAACTTTTCATTTCCTTATATGATTTGGAGGAGGGGTAGAGGGGGTTGCAGTTGCTTCTGTTTAGTATTTTTTCCTGATTATAAAGCGTATCCACATAAACATGCTTGGAAAATACTGAGAAGCATTAAGAATAACTTTAACTGGGGCGCCTGGGTGGCTCAGTTGGTTAAGCGACTGCCTTCGGCTCAGGTCATGATCCTGGAGTCCCGGGATCGAGTCCCGCATCGGGCTCCCTGCT